GCCGACGCGCTCGCGCTCGCGTCCGTCGGCGGCTCCGGGGCCTGCCGCGACGCCGTCGCCGCGGGCCACAAGGCCATCCAGACCCTCCTCGAGACGCCCGCGGAGCGGCCGAAGCTCGCGGCGAAGTTCAACCTCTGCGGCGCCGGCGACCTCGAGAGCGAGGCGAAGCGCCGCGCGTGGGCGGGCTACGGCGTCGTCGACGTGCCCGCGCAGGAGAACGACCCTTCCATCCAAAATGTCAACTTCTCCATCGGCGTCATCTGCGACGTCATGACCGCCGGCGCCGCGCCCTACGTCGACGCGCTCGCGGCCGTGTCCGACCTCCAGCACGGCGGGTCCTGCGTCGACGTCGACGTCGCGCCGCTGCCCGCGGACGACGGCTCCGACTTCCTCTCCTGGCCCTGGCAGACCTGCACGGAGTTCGGGTTCTACCAGACCTGCGAGGTCGGCACGCGCTGCCCCTTCGCGCGCGGCTACGTGGGGCTCGACGACGAGATCGGCATGTGCGAGGCGGCCTTCGGCGTCGGCAGGCGCGTCGTCGCGGACAACGTCGCCTTCTCCAACGCCTTCTACGGCGGCGACGCGCCGCGGGGGTCGAGGATCTACTTTCTCAACGGCAACGTCGACCCTTGGAGCGGGCTCGGCGTCCGCTACGAGCCCGGGCCGTCCGAGCCCGTGCTCATGGTCGAGGGCGCGTCGCACCACGCGTGGACGCACCCGGCGGACGAGATCCACCAGGACACGGTCGCCGACGCCAAGGCGAAGATCCAGGCCCAGGTGCTGCTCTGGCTCAAGGAGCCGTGAGTTGGTGTTTGCGCCGCGAGTAATCGCGTCTTCTGGGAGATCGACGCCACTTTACCCGCCGCGCCGACGCGCGCTAGGCCGCCATCAGTTCCTTGGCCGCGGGCGCGAAGGACGCGAAGCCGATGAAGAAGATGCACGTGTTCTGCACCACGAACGTCCCGGAGCGGAGCGCGTCCATGTTCGTCGCGTAGAAGAACGTGAACAGGACGCGCAGCGGCACGACGGGCGCCGCGAGCTTCGCGAAGAAGACCGGGTCGAGCTTGAGCGTCGTCGCGGCGAAGAAGCAGGGCATGAGGTAGGCGCCGACGGTCTCGAGCGCGTTGTTGTGCGCGCTCTGGAGGCGGAAGCCCAGCGGCGTGACCTTGTAGAGGTCCGGGCCGCGCTGGATCCGCGGCGTGTTGTTGTCGTAGGCGTTCGTCACCGCCGCCGTGTACATGATGCTGACGATGCCGCTGAAGAAGGCGAAGGCGCTCGTGTAGACGGCTACCACCATCGGCACGTCCGCGACGGGGACGCCGTACATGGCCACGAGCTGGTCCGCGTACGCGCTGGCCAGGTAGGCTTTCGTGCCGAAGAAGGCGCCGGCGAGGACGGGCGGGAAGAGGGCGTTGACCCAGAGGAAGGAGCCGGACATGGTGAGGAGCCCCATCTTTCTATCGGAATCGTCGGTGACTTCCACTTCCACGCCGGTGGATGGCAGCGCGGCGGAATCCAAGGGGTAATAAATAGTATGGGGTGGCAGCTCAACGAGATTATGTTGCGCGAGCTCCTCGTACTGCAACCCATCGTTTTGGGGCAATGTTGACGACTTTTGGCCGGGGACTTTTCGACGCCGCCGTCGTCGACGCGGCCCCAGACGGACCGCAGCGGTATTCGCTCCCCCGCGAAGGCGCCCGCGACAAGACTTACGCGTCCGGGCGGTTCGGGTCCGGTGGAAGGAAACCGAGGCGCGCTGGAGGGCACCGTGTCCGGTTTGGCGCCACGCGAGGAAGGGGGTTTTGGGGCAGCTCTTGGACGTGTTCGCGATGATGATGGTCGTGGACCGTCTGCTGGCGCTGCAGAGCCCTTCGTTGGTACCTATGGATGGGCTCGAGCATCTCAGGACACGAAAAGTC